TCAAAAACAATCGAGTTAGATCCACCGCATTCTCTATAGCACTTAACCAAGGAATCCAAAATCTCCAATGGCGGCTTACGGGTCTCAAGCATTTTTTCAAACATGTTATCGGCACGGGGAAAAAGTCCAGAGTTACAAAGACGAATCGCAAGAATTGAATAAGAATGCAAGTTTTGTGGGGTGCCCATTCTCGAACTCGACCAATGGAAGAAACTTTGAAGCCGTACAGGGTCGTTGATTTCATTCTTCTGTAAAACAGAGCGGACGATTTCTGGGTTTAGCTTCTTCAAACTATTCTGATTGTCCAAGACGACCTGCCAATCGTTAAGCTTCAGAATCGTGGAGATTTCGCGAACAGTGTCGTCGTTGTGATCATATGGGTGAGCGGTAGAGAAGAACATAAATTGGGTATAAACATTATTCGCGATAAGGGGATAATTGGTATTTTGGAGAGGAAAACTACATAGATTTCTACGAGGGTGCGAGGTCGCAGCCATTTGCCGGATCAAGCACATAGCATTAGCCATTTTCTTGGTTTCTATGAAACTAGACAAAATCAAGCGTATCAGATTGGGGAAGGAATGAAAGAGAAGATGGGAGTGTTTAGGGTTGAAAACGTACGATTCAATCGTGGATTGAGCGAATCATGAAAATCCCAGATGAATGATCCACAAGCACCATGTTAAATGAGCCAAGTGAATTGGGGCAATGACATTATAGTCCGATTGAAGTTACAGAAGAATGCCATGGAAGATGGATTGAAGTGTGGATCTTTTCCCCCTAAAATGGCAGAAAGGGAGGCTTCATTCTGAAATAGGGAACAATTAGACGAACTGGGTCGTCGAATATTCGTATTGAGAGAGAGAATGGGTTTCTTGGAGATTATTTTTGAAGCATTTTCAACAAAAATCTGAAAAATATGTTCAAGATAATTGTTTTATTGAAAAAATATATACTTGAACGAAAATTTTTCCCCGTTCGAGGTAATTATTTTTGCAAGAATTTTTAGGGATCTTTATTTTTCATATAATCTTTATTACAAAAATTATATATAAAAAAAAAACTAATGAATAAATGTATTTCAAAAGAATATATATATAACATTCTTCCACCTCATTTTTTTAAATTTAAATTTTAATATTACACCTCATCTTTACCAATGAAAAAAAATTACAATCTTTGATAAGTGTTTTAAAATTAATTAATTTATTTTTTGAACCAAGCTAAAAAGGATATGTACACATATTTTTAATATATATTAAAAATATATTTAAATTAAATGACACATATTTTTTTCATCTGGTGTCTCTATTAATTAAATGGGCATCTCTAACTCTCTAATTTTAAAGTTATTTTAATTTTTAATTATTATTTAATTGATTAATTATAAATTTAGTTTCTATAATAATAAAATAAAATAAAATAAAAGGCCAAGGTGTAGATAAAGATTTTGATTGTTTTTATAGACTAAAAAATAATCAAAAACTAATTTTTAAATATAAAAAAGTAATTTTTACTTTGAAGCTTCTATTATAGACGGACGAGTCAGCAAAAGGAAAATAAAATAATAAATATTGAACAAAAAACACGTGTTGCGATTCTATTGGCCCATGATATCCAAGAAAATTCTGAGAAATTTGAAAGAAATTTGAAAAGGTAAGAAATGGAGAACTGTATATTGCTTCTTCAACAAGCTTCAATCCGACAACCATCATTACCTAGCAAGTAACGATGACAGTTCCATCAAACTGTTCGCAATCCGACCTCCAACCCACCGGCGCCGGCGACGACGAAGCGGCCGCAAGAACCTACCTGAGCAGAAAGAAGGCCAAGAGACCACTGATGGCCTCCTCATCGGACTTAGAATCTCATTGTTCAACCACCGGCGCAACTGTCTGCAACCTCTCACCCTCACAAACAGCTCGGATCACTCAACAGTTCGATCACTCCTTCATAGCTTGGGTCTTTGGACAAGACATCCGTCCATGGAAACTCGCCGGTCGCCTTCGCCGTCATCTTCATCTCACCCAAGACGTGGAGGTTTTCGAGCTTGGTCTCGGCTACTTCGTGCTCAAATTCTCTGAGACCGACTATCTTGCCCTAGAAGACTTACCCTGGTCAATCCCTAATCTCTGCATCTACGCCTTTCGATGGACTCCCGATTTCAAACCCTCCGAGGCCATCAATTCCTCTGTTGATGTCTGGATCCGCCTCCGTGAGCTCTCCATCGAATACTACGATGAAGAGATTCTTCGACAAATAGCGGCGACCATCGGCGGTGTTCTTGTTAAGTTCGATCCAGTAACGAAAAATCGCAGGAAATGTAAGTTCGCTCGTATCTGTGTTAGGGTAAATTTGTGCGATCCCCTTCCATCTATGATCAAACTTGGTAGAATTCAACAGAAAATTGAGTATGAGGGTTTGGATTTGTTGTGCCTTAACTGTAGACTTGTTCATGATTTGAAACAAAATTGTTTGAATTCGGGTAATCCTTCTGGTTCTTCTGGATTAGATACCCTAGGAGATAGACCCACCCACCACCACAGAACTCGTCCTCTTCTGGAATTAGGGTCGAGTTCTAGCTCGAAGCAGCCATTGATTCCTTCTGTATCTTCACCAGCATCGGCTAGGGGATCAAGATTCCAAGTTCTTGAAAATGACCAGTTGCTTGATGAATGTGAAAAGGCAAGTCCAAGTATAAGAATTAGTTCTCCTCATGTTCATGTGAAGGATAAAGCAGCTGCAAAGCCAAAGGAGTTATGTGGAGATCCTGTTCGATCATTGCCCAAATTGCCGAAAAAACCTTCTACAAAAACCACCAAAGCTCCTGAGTTAGAACTTGTAGCCCCTGCTGTTGTTGAACATCAGTTCAAGCCTGCAAAAACCAGCAACTCCACCTTGATTGCAGACCATAATAATCAACCATGTCTTGTAACAAAGGTGACCCTTGACTTCATTTCGGCTGTGATTCGACGCTCGACGAAAGAGAAAGAGATGCCCGACACACCATCTAAGGTGATCATTGACGATGGCTGCCCCATTGTTCACACAATCAACACAAAGAAGATCAGAAGCTTTAAAATGAATTTGTCAGCATTGCAAACCAACTCCATATGGAACCAAAATCATTATACAATGGACACTCTTCCAACTGCAAGATGTGTAGATGATGATGGAGCTGGCTCGAAGGCGGTATCGGGGTCAGAATCATGTTCTAAGAAGATGTTGTGCTGGAAGTTTCATGGGACGGACAATGCTAATCTAATGCAAGCATTGAAAGATCTGATTCAGCTACACGAGCCGTCCGTTGTGCTTATCTTTGGCACCAAGATCAGTGGTGCTGAAGCCGAACACGTCGTGCGGGAGCTCTCGTTCTGCGGTTCGTACTGCAGAAAGCCTGATGGTTACAATGGTGGTGTTTGGCTGTTATTGTCCCGGCAAGATGTGCAAATTGAAGTCAATTCATACAGCCCACAACAGGTTTCTGCATCAGTTTATTTTGGTTCCAATACCAATATACCTGCGTTTAGTCCTCCGAACGTCGATACCGAAACATCGTCGGGACCATGGGGGTCGACTTTCTTCTATACTTCAACGAACTGGATGAGTTCAGTGGCATACTGACGAGGGAAGCCATCTCCTCTTAGATATCTATAATCCCGACAATGGTATTGCTTACTTATTGCTTATGTGTTCTTGATTTGCTGAGATTATCTTGAAAGACATGGCTTTTATGTTTGAGATGCTGTTAATTTGTTGATGAAATAATGGATTATTGGAAGTGGATGTAGGCATGAACTGCTGAACCACTGTAAATCTCGTGCCCATTTCTTCTTCTTTCTCCTTTGTTCATTTCTTTTAGCAAGTCCTATCTTTGTCTCTTTACATTGCATTGTGCAGCTGACTTAGGTTTTGATATTCATAGGCATTTGCTTAACGATCTTCAAGAAAACTTTGCTGTTCTTGTGTCATAACAAGCCTTTTCGAGTGTCGATCTTTGCTTGGGTCGACTCTGAGGCTCTACCCTGACTTTTCATTGTTCCTCCCAACTTGCTTTTTTTTTTTCTCATATCACGTGCATCTTCGCAATCAAAGGTGAAAGTGAGAAAAAGACTAGACTGTCCTGCCTCCTTCTACCCACGAACATCTATTAAGTAAAATAGATAAAAGATTTGAATTATGTCTGATATATCACCTATTTCTATTGGATCTTACGAAGTCTGGTCATACACTACGACATGATGAAAATCTTACAGAGCTTTGTCATACACAACATGGTTGCTCTTTTAGGTGGGCTACCGAATGTTTCCATCATAAAATAGAGCTACCCTATTCAAAATATCTTAAAACGATTAGAATCTAGATTTTATGGAAATGTCAATAAAAATTCTGAAAGAATCTACGGATTGTTTGAGTTAGTCGATGAACTTACAATTGGGCAACCATTTTTAATCAACGTTAATTGAAAATCAAGAATGGAAATTGATTAAAATTGTTTGAATGATTTAATGTGACATTAATTGGCCCAATAATACTATAATTATATTTTAGTATTAATTATTAACAAATTTTAATTATCTTAAGTAAAAAGATAATTACAAAACATGAAGCAAACAGCATTAACTAAACTACTTTACGACCAAATAAATTATTAACCTTATATTTATATAATAAATTTTATTATCTTCCTAATCTCAACACTTTCCTAAATTGACTAACATTATTAATTTGTGTTTTTTTTTTTTTTTTCATTAGATCGAAACTAATATTTAAATTTAATGTTTTTAAAACTATTAAAGCATCTTTCTTTAATTAATTTAGGAATTAAAAGTTTTAAAATACATTTAAAAAAATTAATAAAACAAAAATAATTATAGTGTCTTTTTTTTTTATTTAATATTAATTTTATTACATAAATAAGGAATATTCTGGGTATTATAATTTTTTTAAAAGAAAAAATACACGTATATTCAAGAATGAAAAAGAGAGCATCCGTACGCGCCTTAAATTTCTGTTGAAGTGCAGAAGAACATTCGGGTGGAGAAGCTTTCCATAGAAACTTCGATAGGTTTCACAAAGTCAAAATGGAACAAGATTTTTGTCTCCCTTCGTTTACAAATTTCGATCCAGTTCCTCGACATGTCAATCATTTTCAACTGTGAAATCCAATCCCCTGTTCATGGCGGTTCAATCCAAACATTTCCATTCCAGCCGCCAATTCACCGGCGCCGGCAACGACGGAGCGGCCGCCAGTACCATCGGCGCCACCGTCTGTAACCTCACTCCCTCTCTAACAGCTCGGATCAACCAACAGTTTGATCAGTCTCTCATTGCTTGGGTCGTCGGTATGAAGATTCATCCACGGCAGCTCGCCGTTCGCCTTCGCCGTAATCTTCATCTCGCTGGAGATTTGGACGTCTTCGAGCTAGGGCTTGGCTTTTTCGTGCTCAAATTCTCCAACGCTTTAGACTACTACGAAGCCCTCGAGGAGCGTCCATGGTCGATTTCTCACCTTTGCATCTATGTATTCCCATGGATTCCCAATTTCAAGCCCTCCGAGGCCTCGATTCCTTTCGTTGATGTCTGGATTCGGCTCCCGGAGCTCAGCATCGAGTATTACGACAAGGAGGTTTTGGAGAAAATTGCGAAAACCATCGGCGGCCGTCTCGTGAAAATCGATCCGGTAACTGAAACACGAGAGAAATGTATGTATGCTCGTATCTGTATTAGGATGAATTTAGGTTATCCCCTTAATTTGAGTTTCCAATTTGGGAAAAATCCGCAAAAAATTGTGTATGAGGGTCTGGATTTGTTGTGCATTGTCTGTGGATGTGTTGATGATCTGAAACATGATTGTTTGAGCAACCCTTCTTGTTCTTCTGGCTTTGATCCCCATCACCATAGAGCTCGTCCATTGCAGGCCATTGGCTCGAGTTCGAATTCGAATCCAAGTTCGAGTTCAAATTTGAATCCAAATCCGAGTTTGCGTTCGAGTTCGAATCCGAATCCAAATCCGAGTTTGCGTTCGAGTTCGAATCCGAATCTGAGTTCGAGTTTGAATTCGAATTTGAAGATGCAATTGATTCCTTCTAAACCCGCACCAGCATCAGCTTGTGGATCTAGATTCCAAGTTCTTGAGTTGAATTTGAATGAAGAGCCAAGCCTTCCAGTTAGTGAATCTGATAAAGCAGTAAAAGAATCTCCATCAATAACCATGAAAGCTCCTTTGTTAAAACAGACCAATTTGATTCGATCTGTGCCTTTAGCTCCTTGTGTTCTTGAAGATCATCAGTTCAGGACTGAAAAAACCAGCAGCCCCACAACGCTTGCAGTCGAGGACAATGAACCACAACCATCATCATTGGCTATTAAACGCATAGCTCCCTGCAACCATCTTCTGCTTTAGAGGCTGGCCTCAAGTTCTATTCCACTGCAATCCAACAATCAACAATACAGAAAGCGATAAACAACATGACATCCGAACGAATCAGTGTCAATAGTTTTCCGACTATTTACACCATCGATCCAACGATCACAGGCCTTGCAGTTGAATTGTTAGAACTGTCAGCAACAACCACAAGATCAAACCAAAACGAGCATGCTATCCACATTGTGCCAACTTCAGAGGCTGTATCAATGTCTGCATCATGTTGTTCTAAGAAAATGTTGTGCTGGAATTTTCGTGCTACAGACAACGCGAAGCTAATGCGAGCATTGAAAGATCTGATTCAATTACACAAGCCATCGATTGTGCTGATCTTTGGCACCAAGATCAGTGGTGCTGATGCAGATCATGTTGTTCGGGAGCTCGCTTTCTGACGGTTCATATTGTAGAAAGCCTGATGGCTACAAGGGTGGAGCTTGGCTGTTGTTGTCCAAGCTAGACGTGCAAATTGAAGTCAGCTCCTACAGCCCACAGCAGGTTTCTGCATCGGTAATTCTTCATTCTAAACCCATTAAAGCAGTGATATAGGTCTTTCAAATGCAGATATCAGAACATCTCCACGACCATGGAGACAAACTTTCTGCTATGCTTCAATGGAATGCTGATGCAAGAAGGTAAAGAAGCATTGGGTACCATTTTCTTAGATTTAAAATACAGAGATTTCTAAGCTTCTGTTCATTAGAATGGCTTGAGAAAGATAAGTTTATGTTTGTGATATATTGAATGATTGGATATGTTAGGACGTTGCTAGATTTCTCAGCCTCCTAACTTACTTTGACCAGTTACGATCGTCATCAGTCTCATGGCTTTAAAACGTGTCTATTAGGGAGAGGTTTTTCACACCTTTAGAAGGAGTGCTTTGTCCACTCTTCAACGGAGGTGGGATTTCACAATTCACTCCCCTTGAGGCCCAAGGAGTGGATTGTGAGATCCCATGAACAAAGTATCCCCTTATAAGAGTGTGGACCTCTCCTTAGTAGACGCATTTTAAAACTGTGAGACTAACAACGATACGTAACAGGCCAAAGCAAACAATATCTACTAACAGTAGACTTAGATTGTTACACTACATCTTTTTGATATGGGATTTTCGATATTAATCTTTCTAGCAAGGGTGAACTCCCTAAGACATATCTCTCCTAATTGTTCTTCATCTTTCATCTTTTATTTTATATTTTTAGTTTTTTTAATCTTATTTATTTTTCTACTTATTTCTCTAAATAAAATTAGATGATTGTATTTGGGATAATAAAGTAAACTAGAACACGACGATACTTCGACATTCTTATATTTACATTACATTAAAAACTTAACTTGTACCGTTGTAATATTGCATTGAATAATTTTATGTAACACGAACACACAAAAAAAAATTATTGCATGCTAGTCTAAGCGTTTTTTTAGCTAATTGATCTATTAGTTATAGTGCAACTTATACGATATGCAAAATTCAACATACTCTGAGTTGGAAAGAAAAAATCAATTATTAAAATTAAATTCATTGTTCAAACTATCTCGTTCAACCTAATCATCGAACTTTATATAGCTTTTCAAACTCTAAATGTCGTACCATCGATCATAGCCAAATGACATAAATACCCCTACTTAATACGTCATAAAAAAAAATTAAAAAACAAAAATTACATCAAAATTATAAGATAATGATTTCATGTTGTTGGTGGTTCATATCACAAACATTAATCATTCAAAAAAACACTTAAAATCATATCAAAATCAAGATGGGCCTGCCATTTTTACACAAGAAAAGCCCACCTCTTAAATGCAAGTGGTCTTGGGCCCACTTTGTATTGGAAGCTTTAAGTCATCGCATTGATGCATACTTTTTAAAAAATACTAAAATTAGAACGTTAATACAGATATTTAAAGATAATTAATAATAAAATATTAACAAGAATAAAGATTTATTTATTTAAGTACCAAAATTATTTAAATAAATTTAAAATAGTAAAGGGCAAAATGGGGAAAATAGTGTACAAATAAACTCGATTATATAGTACTCTAGAATGTTGGCTGTTTTATATTTCCTAAAATTACGAAATTGACCTTGTTGTGTTGCTTCATTACCTTTTTTTTTTTCTTTTTTTTTCATCATCATTTCCAACAAAATTAATGGAAAAAGAAAAAGAAAAAGAAGAGGAAAAAATTATAAAAGGGGTTAGTTGGTAATGTGGGGCCAGCCATAAAGATGTCTTTTTTATTATTATTTTTTTTATTTTTTATTTTAACGTTTGATTAATGTGACATGTCAATTATTATATAATTCTTATTACAAAATTAGAATATGTATATAAATGAGCCATCATTCCATTATAAAAGGAAAATAAGACAAAGTTTTCAAAAGGAAATTTACCCTTTGGTGAAATCGGTAAACTATCACCTTTTTTACTGTCCTTTAATTTACCCTTTCATTTTGTCATTTTCAACCTTGTCACGTAACTAAAATCGTCTACATGTGACGTCTCAGTTTATATACTCTAATTGTGCTCAGTGAGTCTGACATCTATGTGTTATCACATCGAATATCACCTTTGTAACTGTAGTTGTGATTATCGTTTCCGTATCATTTGTAGGTCTGTATTGGTGGGTGTCTTCTCTTTCAACTCTAATTTTGGTTCGATCGATCGTCTCGTTTGCTTCCTTATTTTTATGAGGCTTCTTGACTTTGAGAATCGAATTTATTTTCATAACTAATTTGGATCTAAACGAGTTTTATTTTCACGTTACGTCAACTAGGTTGTGTAAAGATTAATTTGTTTTTCATATATAGTAGTTTCCGTTTTAAGTAGTGTGACGATGAGCTTATTTATGATTGAATTGATTGTTTAACGTTAAAAACATTTATTACTAGACAACAAACATAAGTTAACGAAGATATTAGAATATTGACACGTGTTTAAATTGCCTACGTTCTAATTTATCTTGGATAGCCAAAATGAAACTCAACGATATTAATTAAATTATTAACATTATTTATAAGTTAATATAATGATTGAATAAACGATAGTATACAATGGAAGTAAATTAGATTGGTGACCCGAGCAACTCTAACAGAATTCACAACCCAACTCGAAAATAAACAGTTGGATTAGGTTGTCAGATTATTATTTTTAATTATTTAAAGAAATTAATATTTATCCACCGTTCAAATACTAAATATTTACAAGTCTGTCACTAACGTTGATTACAAAGGTTAAATATTCTTAATCATTTTAAAGGTACGATCAAATTGTAACGCTATTTCTGGGTTGGTTAGATTGATCCGACAAAAAAAAAAAAAATGTGATTCCAGTTGGGTATACTATATTTAATTTATAACGGGACCGTCCTTAACCCATTAACAAAAAATAAAAAATAAAAAAATAATACCATTCCGTTTCACAAAAGACTCACGCAAGTTCCATGGTTTTGGGTCCACTATCTCGATCATGATTTTCCTACCCTTAGAGAGAAAGTCTCTTTGGTCAGTTGTGGGTAAGGAGGGACTCGAATCCCAACACGGTGATTCGTAGCCAAGTGCAAATTAAACCGATTTAAAATTAAAAGATTAAGAGCAAAATTTAGAGTTATCGAGTCAGTTACTTAAATTAGATCTAAAATTAGGGAAAAAGTTGAATTTTTTTTTTCTTTATATTTTATATTTTTTTATTGATGGGAACGGACTCCGCGTGAAAAGCACGCAGTTAATATCATAATTATGGTTGTTTTAACCGTCCATGCAATTTTCGGTTTCTTTTACTTTATCCATGTTTTTTGCTCACCAATGGCTAATTTATTATTATTATTATTTATCTATTTACTTGATTTTAGTATACAATGTATCTATTTTTAAAATATTTTATTTTTGTAATGAATTTTTTTAAAAATGAAATTCATTTTCATAATGGCAATTTTGTGTAACGTATAAATTATTTTATTTTTAAACTTCTTTAAATTTTATATTTGTTTTTTTTTAATCATCTAAATAGAGATAATTATTTTGAAAATTGAAATTAAAACATAAATATTTAAGTATTCTGAGAAAATATTAAAAACGAGTGAGATTTTTTAAAATTGATAGTAAATAGAACTTAATTTTTAAAAATATAAATTAATAAAAAAAAAATTATTACCGACCAAATCTATCATAGATAAGGTTTATTCTTTGATTACCTAAAAGCGTCTCTTGTCCTCATATAACTATAAAACGTCTTCCGTTACCAATCATTACGATATCCAATAAAACGAGTAAAGAGAGTATCTAACGACCTACAATCATTTCAAATTTTCTAGCCGCGTGTGAGGTGGATGCTCCCAAACAACTACTCGTACCATAATAAGAATTTTAAACACGTGTACCGAATGATAAGTAAGCTTTTAATATGACGATACGTTTATAAAATATATATATATATATATATATATATATATATATTATTTTTGTGAAAATAGTATTTATTTGGATGATTTAAACATTATAGAAGATCTTAATAAACCTAATAATATATTACAAATGAAAATATTATAATTAATAATATAATCTTTGTGTAACGGTTCAAGCCCACTGCTATAATATATTTTTCACTTTAGCTCGTTATATATCGTCGTTAGTCTTACAATTTTTAAAACATGTATGTGTCAGACACCATACCATTCGCCAGGATCGAGCCTGTTATGCTCATAACCGTTTGTGAGGCTGACACAAAAGATAATGGGCTAAAGCGGACAATATCTGTTGCAGGATCGGGACTATTATACTCTTTCATTCTTTGTTTAGTTTCAAAATTAGCTTCTTAAATAGGTAATAGAAATCGAAACCGAGAAAAAAATGAAGGTGTTACTTGAAAGAGGGAAACGTGTCGACAAAGTCCCCAAAAGGGACATCGAAAACGAAAAATTAAGAAATAAATAAATGATGTGCCATTTTTTGTTGTAGAACATAGGCTTAATGAGGGTTTAGGGTAGGTGTGTTAATAATGGTGGTGGGAGACATTGTGAGTTAACATTTGGAAGTAAAATTAAGGACACTTTAGGCTTAGCCTTTGTTTTGTAGGGTCAAATAGGGAGAAACATGTTCGAAAAGCATCTATCAAAATTTTTGTCAATCTAATTTTTTTTACCCGTGTCCTTACTCGTTGTCCATAAAAGAATACGTCAATTATATATCACATATTTTCTCTATACCTTGCAATCTATGATAATAGGTATCGGGATAACGATCACATTTCCTATCTAATATGATATGCATAACCGATGTTTAGGGTCGTGTTTAATTCAGACAAAAAATAGTTAGAGCTTTCAAGTCAGCATAACCAGTTGATGCATCGAGTTTCGTAAAACAATTTTGAGACGGGTGTTTTGCATTTCAATCTATGGTCAAATTTTTCAGTCCCGTCATCAAATTTCAAAACATTATTTAATAATATCCATGGTCAATTTAATAATTGTTAAGAAAAAAAAGCATTTTAAATTTTTTTAAAAAACATGATTTTAAACTAATTTAATTATTTAAAAATTAGATTTTTTAAAACTTTTTCTAAATCCAAAAACACCCCCAACTTACTTTTTACTCAAATATTTACCATTTAACTGTCCAAGAACCACACAGTAATTAAAAAAAAAAAATCAATTCTTATTTTTTAAAAATAATATTTTACAATAAAAAGTGGGGAAATTGAGGTGTTGAGAAAAAACAGGAAGTGCAAATGAATGAAAAAATCCAAAAGATGACAGGAATTCAAAAAAGACCTCACGCGCCCCAAAACGGAAGGTGAAGAACACGCGTGAAAGAGAGAGAAAATAAAAGGTTTTAGTTAAAGAAAAAAAAAAAGGTTTTGTAAAGCGAGAAGGAAGCAATAAAAATAAACCTATTTAAAGCGAGAATTACGAAGTTGCCATTCTCAACAAAATGACCGGCCGACCACGGACAGTATCTTTGTCCGATGCATCACTCTCACACACTCCCATTTCCTTTTTCTTTTTCCTTTTTTTTTTTTTGTATACTCTCTTATCCAAATTAATTTTAACTAAATTTAAAATTAATATATATATACACACACAAATATATAAATATTAATAAATTAAACTATATCATTAAAAAAATTCAACCATAAAGATAAGGTTAGCAATTAAATAAGGCAAATAAACAGATTGAAACACAAAGTAAACCGAACCACCAAACAGAAAAAAGGAGTAACAATTGGGTCGAAACCCAAATTCTTTTAGGGTTAGCTTCTTACACTCTCTCGACTCATGTGATCAAAGTCTAATCCAATCTTGTTATCTTTTATCCGGGTTCATAAAAGATTAGACAAAAAGCCTATGAACAACAAATACTATGTAAAAATGAGGATATATACGAAGATATAATACTTTTATTACTTAAATTATATTTAGGCTACTAGAAGTTAATTACGTGACAATATTAATATATTTCGATCTATCCGTCTCATATTTCAAAAACTCAAAATTTCTTCTTTTTTTAATATTTAAAAAAAAAAAAAGTGAATTTTCCCTTTTTTTTTTTTGTCTTTTTTTTTTTAAGTTACCAAATTTTAGGAGGGAGAAAAATAAAAGAATAGAAAATAAATATTGTTTAATTAATTAGCTAAACACTAATTAATAATGAAGAAGTGATTAATCAACGTTTTTCATTGTCTTTGATTTATAATAATTAATGCTCTAATAGTATTTTAGCATAATTAATCATATTATATGATGTGACCCTAACTATTTATTTATTTGTTTATTTCCACTTTAACTTACTTTATAATTATTAAATCTCCTTTAGTTGACTAATTATTCATCTAGATTTGACTGAAATTAAATATGTTTTAAAATTTTAATTCTACTAACCTTTTACCACTAACAAAGCTAAAAGTTTATCAAATAATATAAAATTTTAACCCATTTTTTATTTGGTTAAATTACAAAAATTTACACTAAAAAAAATTAAAACTATTTTAGAGGAAAAACAATAATGTTATTAAATTCGTTGGAAGGTTGAAAACAAAACCAACAATAAATTATAAATTAGAATAATTGTCTTATGTTTTTTTTTTTATTTTATTTCTCATTTTAAATTTATTCTTTTATTGTCGGAATGTTATACCTAAATATATAGGGAAGAGTTTGATCGTAATCTGTTATCTTAAATTTTACAAATCTCTATAGAATTTTGAAGATCTTTTAAGTAACATCGAGACCACTTTTGAACGACATTAAGATCTCAAAATATAGGGAAAGTAAAAGAGGTTTTAAATAAATGTTTTTTTTTCTTTTTTAAAAATATTAATTATTATTTGAATTTAGTGGGGAAATTTTATTTTAAATTTATCTAATTGTCTCAATTTGCTTTCAATCGCTATTTGAAATCTTTTCGTTGATTTTGTGGGTTTCTATTTCAAATAGAGAGAGCAACTTTTTGTCTCTTCGACTTTATTATTATTATTATTTTTTAAAAATTAAATAAAATTGAGATAAAATGAAGAGAGAAAGAGAGTGTGTGTCACACGTGTGACATTTACATTTTAAAATCTAAAAAAAAAAAATTAATTAATTGATAAATAGTAAATTCAAAAATTAAAACTTGAAAAAATAGATTATTCATGAATTAAGACGAATAATTTTAATATGGGAAATAAATAAAATATAATATGAATTTTAATTTAATAATTGTTTATTTTTTTAAAAGAATAATATGAATTTAATAAAAGGCAGAATAATGAGAGTGGGTGAAAGGGCATGTGAAAAAGCCAAAACTCCTCTTACTTTGAAGCAAAAGTGAACTTCTTTTTTCAAGAAAAAAAATAAAAATAAATAAATAAATAAATAAAAATACAACTTTATGCAAATTCTAAATATTTTAACTCATACTTTTATCACCCATCAACCTAAAAGGTGGAGAGAGTGAAAATTTTAAATAAAATAATTTATTTATATATCGAAAAAGCTCGGTTTAATATCAGTTCCTTAAATCAATCTATAATTTTTTTAAAAAAAGCCACATAATCAAGCGATCGTTGTAGAAGTTGCAAGATTAGTCGAGGTACGACTATTGTTGCTCCAACGCTCACAATTTTTTTTTTTTTAAATTTATAGCTTTTACTCTTATAGTGTTTATTTTCGTGTTCGTATTTAAAATTTTAATATTTTAGTCGATCGTTATTTTTAATAAATAATCGAGTATTCATTCTATACTAGATTATTTATTTATTATTTTTTTGGAATGAGTGGTTGAAAATTAAAAAAATAAATAAAAAAATAGTGGTGGGACATCTTATTAATAGGGATAATAGAAAATAATAATAATAATAATAATAATAATAAAATCATGGCTAAATTAAAATACTATTTTTAATTATGAATTTTCCATTTATTCTCTCTCCTCTCTCTAAATTTTTAAGCTTTTGTTTTTGTCTCTTAAGAAACTAAATTATAAGAGAATTTGTGATTTTGTTTTATTGAGTATAATGGGAGTGGATTTACTAAGTTTAATATTTTATTTTATTTTTTAAATTATAATTTTTTTTTTTTTTGTGAAAATGTTCGGGTCAACTAATATAATATTTTTTATTACTATTATTTTGATTTTATTTACAAAAATATTCGGGTCAACTACTATGATATTTTTATTTCAGTAAATGAAGATTTATTGGAATGTTAAATTAATTTATTATTATTACTATTATTTCGTTTTCAGTATTGTTTTTAATTGATTTTTTATTGTAAAATGTTTTTTAAAATTATTATTTGATAAAGGTCGTTAAATAGCATATATTTAATAAAAATTGCATCCCCCAAATAGTATGGATTATACATTATTCTTGTTAGTTTTATGTTATTTATGTAAAATATTGTGCTTTTAAATAAATAAATAAATATTATTAAATAATCCAAAACAAAAATAATAAGAATAAGAAAACTATGTTATAAAAAATGGATAAATTAATTAAAAAATAATATAATAAAAAGAAAATGGAAAAGACAAATATTTAAAAAAAAATACAAACACATCATTGGGGAGACAAAGCTAAAATACAAATAATAAAAAAATAAATAAAAATTATATAATAGTTATTAATATTATAATTTGAAGGTGAGTGTGGTGGGACCTGATTTTAAAATATATAATTGAAAACAAAAATTTTATAAATAAATAAAAGAAGATACGTAATCTTTAAAAATAAAAAGTATAAAAAACAGTGGGGTCCACACCATCGTGGTTGTCACTCTCATCCCTGCCTGATTGAATATGTGCCGCGGGGCCCGGCGGCGCGTTTTACCCACGCGCTAAACTCAGTCATCTGGTTCTTGACATGAGCTAAATTTTTTTGTTTTTTTTTTTTTAAGAAAAAAAAGAGTGTCAGAGGTTTGGGGCAAGTGAACGTGCGCTATTTGAACCACAGATCTGGATCCACTCCATACCTTCAATCAAACAACGCCTCCCTCTATCTCTCTCGGGGGATTGTTTTTTGATTCAAAGGAGAGAGAAAGTTAGAGAGAGAAAGCTCTGCTTGAAAAAAATGGCAGACTAACAGCAGCAGCAGTAGCAAAGTTGCAGTTTTTTTTTGAAACAAACCCAAATCATGGCTATCTTCTTCTTCCGACGCTGAAAACCCAGTTCATCTAAAGGCGGTGGTTTGGCTTTTATGGTAAAACTTTGACCTTATCTCTTTAGAAATCTTCATGAACTACTGAAAGATTTCATCTTGTTCTTGTTCTTGTTGTTCTTGTTCTTGCTCTGTTTGTATTTTTCTTTCTTTTGGGTGTTTTCCCTTTAACGAAGGCAAGCTCTGTTCTGTTCTTTTCTTTTCTTTTCATCTAACGCACACGGGAATACTTCTTGGGGCACCAAACTTTCTCTTTTTGCTCTTCTTTTTTCGCTCAACGTTCCCTTTTCTTTACCTCTTTTTTGGGCATGTTCTTTCAGGAAGAAGCTTTTCAGAAAAAACAGAGACTGAACTGAAGCTACGCGATATTTGTTTGTGGGTGTGATCCTGTTTTTTTGTATCTCTGTTTTTTCCCCTCTCGCATCATGGATTCTTATGAAGCAACAAGGATTGTGTTCTCTAGGATCCAGAATTTGGACCCTGAAAATGCTTCCAAAATCATGGGTTTTCTTTTGATTCAAGACCATGGAGAGAAGGAGATGATTAGATTGGCCTTTGGTCCAGAAGCTCTGCTTCACTCTGTTATTCTTAAGACTAGGAAGGATTTGGGTCTTCCGTCCACGAACTCGCCGTCTACGATGAGTTCTTCGCCGTCTCCGTTTAGTCTTTCGAGGCAGAGTTCTTCTACTTCTTCGTCGAGGTTTGGAATTAATCTTCCTCCTTCACTTACGATTCCGAGTCCTTCTTCCAGTTCTGTTTCGTGGGCTACTGGTTTTTCGCCTGATCTTCAAAGTTCTGATGATCATTTGATTAGTCCTGGGAATTTACCACTTGGGTCGTCGTGTTTTAGTGCTGGAGAAGCTCCGGTGACTGATATGATTGATGAGTTTCAACTTCAGGACCAGCTTTCGTTTCTCAACGACGGCTCTCCGACCATCGGTGTTAAGAATTCCGACTTGTTTTTCCCTCCGGTGGACTTGTCTTCGAGTCCCACCGGCGGTGGGATTAGTTCCTATGGCGGAGATGGCACCTGGAGTGGAGGGGTGGTCCACCGCCGGAGCTACTCTGTTAACGATGCCAGTTTGGGAACAGAGGATTTGAATAGTGGGTTGGGTTGGAAGCCTTGTCTTTACTACGCTAGAGGGTTTTGTAAGAATGGAACCAGTTGCCGGTTTCTCCACAGCGGTCTTGGAGACTCCGACGGCGGCGGCGCCGCCGTCGGCTCGCCGAGTAAGATCGAAATGATGGACCAGTGCCATGAGCTTCTCAGATCCAAATCCTCTGCTCAGCAGCGCCTCGCCGCCGCTTCTCAGCTCATGGCCTCTGCTAATGCCTTCCCTTACTCTCCCAAATCCATCAATTTCCTTCTCCAACAACAACAAAGCGATTCCCAGAGGTATAATTTGTTCTTTTCGTGAAGAATGCCATGTAATTACTACTGAAAAGTCTCATTTCTAAACTCCTCTGTTTGCAGAGCCGCCGCTGCGGCCCTGATAATGGGCGAAGATCTTCACAAATTCAGCCGGTCCGGCCGCTTGGAGCGAAACGAGTTCTCATTGAATGGCAGCGCCGGTATCGTCAATCCAGCTTCAAGACAGATCTACTTAACATTCCCAGCCGACAGCACCTTTAAGGAAGAAGATGTATCGAATTATTTCAGGTTCCTTCACTAACCAAATTCTCCATTTTGTTCTTCTTATTCTTCCATGTCTGAAAGTTCTTGTTTTTTATGAAGCATGTACGGTCCAGTTCAAGATGTGAGAATCCCATATCAACAGAAGAGAATGTTTGGATTTGTCACTTTTGTTTATCCTGAAACTGTGAAGCTCATTTTGGCTAAAGGGAATCCCCATTTTGTTTGTGATGCTCGTGTTCTTGTTAAACCATACAAGGAAAAAGGCAAAGTCCCAGACAAGTACAGGCACTCTCTGATTCTTCACTCTGTTTTTACTCTGTTTCTTTGGAATTTCTCGTAAGAATTTTGATTTGTTCTACAGGAAACAGCAGCAAATCGATAGAGATTTCTCCCCTTGTGGAACACCAACTGGGTTGGATTCAAGAGAGCTCTACGATCATCTTCAACTCGGCTCAAGAATGTTCTACAATTCTCAGCAGGATCTGCTTCTGCGGAGGAAACTCGAAAAACAGCAAGCTGATATTGATCTTCAAAGTAGACGCCTTCTGAATCTACAGCTTCTTGACGTGAAGAAAAACCAGCTCCCCCACCCTTACAACAGCCACCGTGCTTTCTCGACCGGCAGCCCGATTCCTTCCCCGACGCATTCTCCGAATCCGTTTGCTCAAAATCTCATCTTCCCCACCATTCGTAGTGCTAGCAGTTGCAGCAATTCTGATATCTTACGAGGTAAGGTTCATAATCAATCACCATTGATGAATCAATCTCTTAATCAGCTTATGTAACTGAACTTTGTTTGCAGAGAATGGCCCTACGCCACCGCCCGTTACGATCGTATCTTCAACCGATATGCCTCGGCAGCTATCGCCGTCGGCAAACGAATTCTCCGTCCATGACAAGGAGACATCCCAAAATGATGACATTGATTTACTTGAATGGTAATAACAATAAACCATTTACATTACTCCAATTTAGATATCCCAATTCATTACTCAGATTATGTGTTATAAAACGACCACTACAGTTTTGAACACAATCTCCCGGATAGTCCCTTTGCATCACCAGCAAAAGCCACCGGCGACCATGCAGCAAACGACTCCGACGACGCCGACGCCAACCCCGAGTCGAATCTCACATCAACATCCTCTCTGGAAGTAGCAGCATCCTTCAAATCCTACAATTGCCAAATGCCAAGGTCAGCACTAAACCAACCAACCAAACATCCAAACAAACAATCAACAGCTTAGAGTACTCTCAATCCATTAAACTAAACAACAATCACTCTACAGGTTCCCATCGAGCCACGGATCAATCGGAATGTACGTAGGGACAGGCGGGCCGACATGTCCGGTGGGGATTTAGCATCAAAAGCAGCAGCCACAGCAGGTAAAATAGAAAACCCACAAAACGAAATGAATAGTTCAACGATTACTCCATTGAAAAACAGAAAAAGAAAGGAAATTGCTTGGTTTTAACGATCATGTCTGGTGAATTCCAGGAAACAAAAAGAAAAAATAAAGAGATTAACCAAAACAGCAGAGGAGTACACAGTATGAACACAGTATCTATAGAGAATGAGGGGAAGCAGAGGCAGGTCCTCCACAAGGGCACACCATCAATGAAGAGTACAAAAGAAAAGCAGTAGAAGAGGGAAGGTGGGGGCAGACCCCCATACCCATTTCTTCCATGTTTACTGTTATTGATGTAGCAGAGCAGTAGAATTCCATCATCTTCTTCTTCTCTCTTCCTTTTAGTGTTATAAATTTGAATTTTATAGGTTAAAAGTAAGAAGAAAAAGAACACACAGAAAGAAAGAAAGCATGTTTTTTTTTTTTTTAGGGTTTTTTCACAGAGTACTTCAAAATGGCAGAGGTTGAAGAAGAAGATGATAGTGATGATGATGGTGGAGAGACTGTAATATTCCATTTTTAATTTCATTTTCTCTCATACTTTTCTCTCTTCCTTATGCTAAATATTAATGAAATTTTTAAAAATTTTTAATAATATTTTAAAAACAAAATTGAAACAGAGTCCGGTCCGGTCCGGTCCGGTTCGGTTTTGTAGAGGTGTGAGAGAAGAGTGGAGTGGGACAAAAAAGATTTGAAATAGGTTTTGGGGTCACATTGGGTGGGCGGGGTGATTGGATTGGAGTGGGGAAATGCCAGGCTGTCAGGGTGGGACCCACTCCCACCCCCCATGTCACATGCCATTCCAACTGCCTCTCTCCTCCTTGTCTACATACATCCATTATGTAAAATCAATTTCCCTTTTTCTTTTTTCCTTATCATTTTTTAATTATTATTATTTTCTTTTTCTTTTTTTAAATAAAATTTAATTTCACACATGTACGACAAAAATGCACGGTTTCTGAGATTCCTTTATTATTTTTAATTATAAATTCATTTCTTTTTAAAAAATTTAAAATATATACAAAAATCATAGGCAACATTCAAATATAATTTATTACTCAAATATAACTTAGGTCGATTTTTATATACTTCAATTGTTAATTATAATAACAATAATAGTAAGACAGATAATTTATATTTCACGCGTCTTATCAAATTTGAGATATTGATTTTCAGTCGACGATGTGAAATAAATAAGAAAAGTGTCAGACATTCGAAAAGAGACAAGTTGTGTGGTATAACGGCGCATAGGACTTTGATGTATAAGAAACATAAATTTTAAGCAAAGTTGAATTATGAGTTTGAATTTTAAGTGCAAACTTTAAATCATTTAATGGAAAAATCAAAAGTTTTATCGCTTCCATGATAATAATTATTATACTTTCAATTATTACGATAAAGAGTAAGATTATGAATAAGAAATTGTAACATTAGCAGATATTATATAAAAAAAAAATGTTTCATTTTCTTCCCAATCAACCAATATGGGATCTCACCGTTCACTCTCCTTTGGGCCTCAACATCCTTACTGGCACACCGTTCTAATACATCTGTAAGAGTTCAAGCCTACTGCTAATAGATATTGTTCGCTTTGGTTTGTTACGTATCGTCGTCAATCTCACGATTTTAAAATGCGTTTGATAAGGAGAGATTTCTACGTTCTTGTAAAAGAATGTGACGTGGGATCTCATAGAAATAATCTAATCCTTTGTTGTGGGACTTCTGTCCATATTTTAATTAAAAAATATTTTAAAATTTTGAAAAAAAATCTAAAATAATATTTTAAAATTTTAAAAAGGTCTATTCCTAATTTTTTTTTTATTAATTTCTTTATATAATTTATTCAACGTATAAGATACTTTAGAGAGAATTAAAATTACCATAATTATCTGAATTTGGTACAAAGTTGGAAGAAATTGAAATTTATTATTATTTTTTTCCCTTAACAATGGAATTAAATCGAAAAAGTTTAAAAACTAAAATTCAAATTTAAATGCTTAAAAAAGGGGTATATTGACACGTGTAACCTATTAATAGACTGTGAAGAGGACTTTCTCCCGCGAATTCCTATTTCCTGCAAGGGTCTCCGAATCGGAGTGCAGAGTTCTTCGGAAGCCTTCATTGGCGACGCGACGACAGGTCTTCTCTTTCTTTCTTACTCTTTTGCCAATCGTTGAAATAAATTTTACATTTGCCTCTTTTCCATTAATTCTGAATAAGATTCAGTCATCTCTCCTTTTATGATCGTTGAATTTCAACGATCACATTAATTCTGAATAAGATTCAGTCATCTCTCCTTTTATGATCGTTGAATTTCAACGATCGAAGTTTTAAGAGTTTTATGTTGAGTTGATGATGCTTGATTACAGAAACTGTTGAAAATGAAACGACGTATAATTGATTGAATTTGTTGGTGATGTTTTTTGCTATTCTATTCAATTATATAACTTGTCCTTGAGTTATTGAAATTGAAATTGAGCCCGCATTCACTACCCGATTAACGCAATTCTGACCTACTTGGAGCATCTGAGTTTCCTGTAAAACAAAGATGAGTGAAAAAGAGATGTAAGTTTGTTATGTGTAAACAGAGCGTGTTTCTCTGTAATTACTTCTTTACAGTTTAAAACAGATTTGAATGGAAGTGCTTGCCTTTGCCTGTGCTCTATCTAGTATGAACTGCGGCGAGGTTTTCAGTTCTACTTCTCAATTGAGGTGGGATCTCACAATTCACTCCTTTCGAGGCCAGCGTCCTTGTTGGCACTTGTTCTCTTCTCTAATCAATGTAGGACGTTCTTGCTAGTACACCACTTCATGTCCACCCCGGCACCCCCTTTGGAACTTAGCTTCTTCGCAGGCACACTCTTATATCATTTGTAACATTTCAAGTTTACCACTATCAGATATTGTCCTCTTTGGACTTTTCCTTCCGAATTTTTCAGGCTTTCCCTCAAAGTTTTTAAATCGATCAGCCTCCTCGAGAAAGGTTTCCACAACCTAGAAAAAAATGGAAACAAGTACGCTGGAGGGAACAGCTATGGTGGCTTACTTAGGCCTTCTTTTTTTTTTTTCGTCCTTTTTTTTTTGTATTAGTAGTCACTAAACTCAAGTATATTCTGAGGCTCTAATACCAATTGACGTAAAGTTAATAGCTTTTTGTACTGAAATTGTTGTTGGTGAGTTCTTTTTACTTTCTACGTCATGATCTAGACACGATGAGAATAAAGATCAAATTAGAGAAATTTGAGATGTGCTCGAAATCTATATCCTTACATTTATTGTACTTAAAAAATAATATTTTTATAAAATTGAGAACTCAACAACCTAATTGAATCCAAAGCTTGGGCAACCATGGGGTTATTATTTGTTGTAGGATTACATTGAAAAGTATGCATAGGATTGCACATGAAATGGGGGGAAAATGTTGTAGGACCCCACCACGAACCTATGTGATTCTCTACCAATGTACCAAAAGATATCAAAAGATGGAAAAGCGAAGCAATAATGCTACTTACCAAAGCTCCTTAATATTTTCATCTAAGATTTTGAATGTCATTCCAGCCGAAGCGAAGCATTAAGCCTTCAGGTCCTTCTACTTTATCATTATTTCATTTTCTTGTGGGCTTAGAAGGTTGTAGAAGGCCCAAGAAGTGAAAATATATAAATAACAAAAGATAGATTAGTTCTTCCCTTAGCTAGTGCATTATTTTTTAAACTTTGAAGGATGATGATATCGGATCATATGACTGTTAATTTCTTTTTTCTCCAATCGCTGTTAGAACTCTTGTTTTATCAAACTTGGGTGAATGAGGATGATGTGCTTCTCTACTTAGTTTTCAGTTGGTTGTTTGTGAACATTTTGTTTCTCAATTCTTCAAGAGAAACTGATATTTTCTATGCAACCAGGTTTCTCAATTTCGAAGGAAATTGGTGACTGTTAAGGCCATTCTTTGAGAGATTAAAATGGAAAAAGAAGATTTTAAAAAGATCTTCGAGGATAAAACTAGAGAAATTAAAGATGTATGGAAAGGGCACTCAACCAAAATGAACTTGACGAGCCACTATTAATTTAATTAGTGGCTCGTCAAGTTCATTTTGGTTAAGTATATAGAGAAATTAACCCTCAATGCAGCAGCAGATAATTGGTCAAGTATTTAGCGCGAGTCTGTGTCATGTTGGGTTTAGTGCTTCGGTTTAAGTCGCAGCCGTCGGAAATGCAGAGAATTAATTGAATAAGACTGAAAATGCTTATAAATTTTAGATTTTTAGTGAAACTTCTGAAGTTCATTACTCATGACAACCAGTTGGTACAAGTATGGAAAATTGAGTTCAGTTGAAGCTATGAATATGTAGATGCAGAGATGCCTTGGGTAAACAAAGATTACTGCCTCTGAACTATCAATATCTTATAAAAAATGATGAGGACACAGTCTTTTCCTGGATTTATCATATGCGTAATGCTGTATTACACTACACAATTGATATCTACATCTACTGTCCTTCATTGTTTCTCACCCCTTCCCAAATTTACTTGATAAATCCGTATTTTATTTGACACCTTCTTTAATCAAATTTGAATCATTCTGCAGTTACCTTGTTATAACCTATACTCTAAGGAGAAAAGGCGCAGAATATACTTGTACATCTACAGTTCAAGTGTGGGAGGCATCATGACAAGGGTTTAGCCTTTTTGAATATTCTTTGACCTGGAGCAAGTATTGCCAACGGGTCATAAGCCCTTTTTCTCTCTACATATGTTTCCCACATTGGCCCAAAATGGGCCTGCCATTCTTTCCTTGTAGTGTAATGTGGCAAATATTGTTTCGCTCCTAGATTGGCTGTTTTACAGAAGTCCAGAATTCTCGTGTTTTGTGTTAAGATGTATTCTAAGCTGTCGTTTCCTCTAGACCAGGGAACTGCAGAGGTTAGAAATGCAACCAGGTAGAAAATATCCTCCTCTGGAATAACTACGGATGTTCTATTGTCCCACCTGAAACTCAGTAATAATTAATAGAATCAGTATAATATAATATAATATAATACATATTGCAAGAACATTTAACTTGTTAGATCATTAATTACTTTGATTTGTTAACCGGATAGATTAGGACAGGGCCGTTGCTTGTTTCCTTCAGGATATTGCCAAAAACCCCTTCTGCAAATTCTTTTATTTTGCTTTTTGGGATTAGGAGATTCAGCCATGGGTGTGGGACTTCCCACAACCCTTTTGACTGTAATTTCACGGCCGATACTTGAACTCTGTCCAGGAATTCCACATATGTAACTTCTGATATGAAAAGCGTTGATGGGATATAACTCAACCGAGACAACAACCGCTTGATTTCCTGCATGGTAAAAGCATGTTCATGTAGCTGCCATTTATTTTCACATTTTTCACATATATTTATTTAGTATGGATACTTCACCAGATCGACATTGTTGTTGTCCTTGTTGTGGTGAAAGTACTTTGCCAATTCTAGGCAGTAAAGAATTTTTCCTTCAGACTTGAACTGGCTTGCTTGAACAGGGTCTTGTGGATCGAATGATGATCTCCAATTATTTAGAAGACCAGTTCTGTTTATTATCACGAATCCTTCAATATAATCGAATGTATTTTCTCCAGATATTAACAGCTCCTGCTCTCTGGTAAATGTTGTGAAGTCAAAGTACAATACTCTTATCCATTTTACCTGTCAAGGATAGAAGAATTGGGTTAGAACAGCCCTTCATAGTTACTTTAGACTAGATTCAAAGTTCCTTTAGAACACTAATCTTACCATAGTTGGCGCTGGTTCAAGTAGAATTTTTGCCCGTGTGATAATTCCAAATTGGCCTAACCCTCCAAGAACACTGTAAAAGAGGTCACTGTTCTGTTCCTTTGAGCAGTTTACCACGTCCCCTTTTCCTGAAGTCAGTTTCACTCCATTTGTCAGTTACCATAACAATATAGCATCCAGGAAATGGCGTTCGCCATTTACCTTGCATGGATTTCCTATCACATTACTTTTGTATACGTATAGTATAATGTATATGGCAACGAACCTGTTACAACCTCCAGCTGATGAACGTTGCTGATCTGAGGGCCATGTCGAAATGCCTGTCCACTGATCCCTGCATTGGATAAAGTACCCCCAACCGTTAGATGTAGGTAGTCTGTCCATGATTTTGGTGTTAGTCCATATTTCAAGCTCTCCTGCAGGATATTTATCCATAACTCCCCTCCAGAAACATCGATGTATGTGAAGCTTCTGGTATGAACAACCTGCATTTGAGGGCCCTGGAGTGATTCCATGTTAATCACAACTCCTCGGTGGGCCTGTGCTTGGCCATGAAGTGAGTGGCCATGGCCTCTAGCTGCAACTGTGAGCTCTGAACCAGGTCCCATCTTCCAAATATGCTTTATCGTCATGGCGATATCAGAAACCGATGATGGATGCAGTATTGCTGCAGGGTAGTATTGATATCTATTACCAAAATCTCTTGCAGCAAATTCCACTTTTTCAAATTCAAAATGGCCGTTGATGTAAAGCATTCTTAGCGAAAAAGGGATGCCTGTGAAGCATAGATTCATCCTAACAGCAATACAGCTCAGGAACAAAATCATGAAGCTTCGAATCGAAAGCATGTTGGTTTGTTTGAGGAAACTAACTGGTGGGTATCGTAATTTTCTCTGGCTACAAGTCTCTGAAGTTAAAGATGAAAGGATTGGTAACATGTTTTGTTATTTCTAAAGAGGAGAAAAAGGCAGAGGAGGTGTAGGAGGGCCTAGAAAAGGCTGAATTGGAGGTGGTTTTAAAGGGAGGTTAAGATCATAGTGGCCGAGTCAACTAGACTTCAGTTTGGAGAATACGTATGAAGACTGCCTACTTAGGGAAGAGTTAGGAGAAATCTTTCCACTTTTTTAAACAGTTAAGCTTTTCCCACGAAAGACAAACAGGTTCTCATTAACCTTGTTAAGGATTGTTTCCCATTTTTAGAAAAGGAAAAAAAGGCAAGGCAAGGCCTTGGCCGGAAAACGTATTCCTCTGCCTTTTCTCTGACTGGTAATGCATATGCTTGTGTCTCACTGACATTAATGATGAGGCTACTCTAATCCTTGAATCCTATTATTGTCGGAATTTAACATTGCGTATCTAGTTTCAGATTCAGTCAGAGGAGAGTGGCCCATGTTGATTCATTGGAGAAGAAGACAGAAGGATCAGAGGGTCACCAGAGGGTCCATCATACACGTGATATTTAACTGCCTGCATGCTTTTTAGGGAGAAGAGATATGATGGGGATTGTGTCGGGGCCACTCTTACGGGTTAAGCAAGGGGAAAGGAGAGCGAACATGGGGCTGACACCTTCTTGGTGGAACTCAACACCACTCTTACACCTATCCACTTCCACAGGTTTGAAAGATTCGATCTTGTTTACATTGTTATTTACCATTAAAATACAATCTCAGTGGCAATTATTGCATTCCTTCCTTTTTGTTGCAATTTGTTTGTGACAACCAATCAGAAGTTTACATCTTTCCCCTCTTTCCTTTATGCTACATGCCAATTCAACTCTGGCTCTCTCAAGAAAATGAAATACAGGAAAATTAGTCAATATCTACATCATGTGGCACACTAAATATTGTACTCTGATGCCGTTTTTTTTTTCCTTTCTTTCCTATAACTGTGTCCTGCAGCATTCTTCAATGGAAATAGGCAAAGTTTTGGGATCCAATCAAAATTTGCCTAATGGTTCGTCCTCCTGAGTACCTTCTAGATTTTTCATTGTGCTGACAACATCTATCATGCCCTCAACTTACATTTGACTTGTGGCGTTACAAAAGTGAAGCTATTTAAGGTTGTCAGAGGTTTGGGCTTGTTGGGATGAAAATGACCTGTAAGTTTTATATGCAAAATCATTTTGAAAACTGCGTTTGAGATCTGCTCTTCTCTTCAGAGGCAAAGCCATCCCCTTTGTGATTATAAAATTAAGATTGTGATAATTGGATATGGATATTGCAATCTCTTGCTTTTTTTATCAAAATATGAAGTTTGTAGTGTGAATTCCAGACTTCATCCGCCCATTTGTGGTGAAAAACCAAAATGATGATTGCATGTTTTCTAGAAGGAGACCGACCACCAATAAATTAATCCGTTTTTGGCTCTTTAGCTTAGTGGACTCTTCATTGTGTTGGAGCTCTACCCCTATCCTCCATCCCCACTTTAACACCGACGAATTAAGTTACATCATGGGGCATCTCCTGTCCATCAATTGCCTGCTCTTGGGGACTGCAGGATTCTCTTTCAGCTGTGTAAAGTTCTTAAATCCAATCACTTCAACATTGCCTTAACATGAAATCTTAGGTGGACCTTATAGGAATAGAACCCAGCATTGTATGGTTAAAGAAGGAAATGAAGAAGGGTAAGGAAAGAAGTCAGAAATTATCGCTTGCTTGTTGATGACGACGAGTAGATTAGCTTGTGTAATGGCCCAGTTCCACCGCTTGCAGATATTGTCCTCTTTGGGCTTCCCCTCAAGGCTTTAAAATGTGTCTCTTAAAAAAAGATTTTCACACACTTATAAAGGGTGTTTTGTTCTCCTCTCCAACTGATGTAGGACATCACAGTTTGGGACGAGGATTGCCACCTGTGTTATAATGGTATTAGAAGAAGGATTGGTTGGACAAACTTTATGAAATGTGAATCCTTATCATGTTCCCTATCCCCACTTTTGATAATATTCCTCTTCAGTGATCGTTTGTTTTTTTATCTTCTTTATAGCCGAAAAATCTAAGGACTAAAGAATCTCTTCCTAATCATTTTTGTCTAAACCTTCTTTTGATTGTAAAATATTGGAGGAAATCTGGAGGGCAATGCCAACAAAAGCAATGTAAAATTTAGCATTATCGTCAAAGCCAAGAAACCACACGTAGGCATTCTACAAAAATGATTGTTGAGCATAGTTACAATGACTTTATTTCATGTCACTTGCCAAATATGCAATTACAGTACTCTGTTCATTTTTGTTACAATCATTCCCATTATCTTTGTCGTTTTGTTTATTTATTCTACTGAATAATTATAATTACTTCCCGAAAGTTGGTGAAATATGCATTTTAGGGGAGGCTGGGAAATGAACTGTCTCCCATTATCTGACTAATATATTTATATATTCCTTTGTTAGTTGACAAATTATGATTATGTTTTGTTTCCAGCTTTAAACATTTGTTCTTCTCCCTCTCTGGATCATGTGGACAAAGTTGTGGGAAATTGTTATCATGTTTTTTGTCCAAGTTCACGACCGACTGTTGTTTTTCTGATCTGCAAGATCTCACTTTGGTGTGCCTAGCTAGGATAGCACTCAAGAAGTTTGGATTTTTTTAGTTGCCCCACCGCACCCAGGAATATGAATCCATTTTAAACAAAACTAGGTTCTTTGATCATAATCATGCACATTTTTTGCCTTTCAAAACTTACCATTCAGTCAACATTTAGAAGCATAATTATTTGAAACTGACCCTTCAAACAACGAAATAGAATGCAGAAAAGAAATGTGAAATAAGATTAGCTTAGCTAAATGCATGCGTTGTTGATCCGTCCTTTTTTTTTTCCCCCATCTTTTTGTGCACTAAAATCCCTACCATTTCTAGTCAAGACCAGTACTTGTTTTGTTTTTGAAACATCCATTTTGGATCTTGATTCAATCTTTCTGATAGCTAAGTTTGCTGAACTGTCAACTAATAAATGCATGCATCTAATTATGAGAGAGTTTGCCTTTACTTTTTGCTTTTTTATGTCTGTGTTTGATTTTAAAACGAAGTGGTAGAAAATTTAAAATGGGATGGAACTTAGCTTTCACCAGTGTGGTCCTTTTGCGTAAACAAGCTGAAGTAGGCCAAATTAATGGCTGTTCTAATCACAGTGTTTCTTTATGACAAGAAAGGAGTTGTATGTACTCTTTTCATCAAGTCTTCAAATTGTAGTTTAGAATTTGGAATGGATTTTGTGCTTGTAGTTGTTTTTTAGAAGTGTTTTTGTGGGGTTTGATGTGAAAAGTTCTTTCTAAGCGAACGAGTTACCTCAGGCTCTTCTTATTCAAAGTCAATAGTCATGTGGGAAATTATAACTTGATATGATGTATAGATATTATCGGAAAAATGTTAATATTTAAGAATTTTCTTATTACACTCGTGAAAATAAAATGTAGCTCTTGATATCTTTACATTGATATGATATCTACCACATAAATAAGCTTCCGATGATCATTTATTCAAATAAATTAATAACTTTTACAAGTTTCTTCTTTCCTTGAATTTCTTGTAGATATATTTTTGATTGGTGAGATGTCTTCATCTGCTCACTTCTTATGTCTTGTCTAATGGGTCTTGCAGGTTTGAATGGGTAACTAGTTTGAAAGCAAATAAGTTGTCCAAATAGAGAGAAAAGTGATTGGGAAAAATGTCACTTATGCATGAGTCCAATCCAAAGCCTTGTTCATGGAGAATGTGCTTTGTTTTGAATATCTTAATCTAATGGTGTGATCTGAATCATTTGAACTCTTCTTTCAGGTCAAAAAGTCAGTTCCCCTCTGCCTGCATCTAAGTGGTGTATTCAACCACATTAAACTTGCTTCTTCAGGTAACGCCATGTGCTGCTGCTTATTTAATGAATTGGGTAGGTGTGGATCCAATTGTAGAGTTGTGACACAGACTTATTCAATGTTTGCTTGCACTAATGGGAGTCTATAGAATCTGTCTTTGAAGATCTTCCTCGTGCCTTTTGGATTAACTGTAGGGGAAAATAAGTGAGTTTGAAGCTTAAAAACATGTTTTTTTAGAGTTCATAATATTTATTTGAGGGTAGTGATTCAAACTTCTGATCTATAAACTCGTTCATGTTTTGTTTTCTTTTTTGATTCACTATGATTTAACCACTAAAGCAAATGGTTTAAATTTCAATGGCCTAGCTCTCTAGAGGTTAATAAATAATGTGACTCTAGAAAAGTGTACAGAAAACAATAATAACAAAAGAAAAAGAAAGTTAGGAGCAGAGGCAAACCATAATAAAAGTTTAAACCCTAATGGAAAGCATGTGATGAATATAGAGTGGTGAGTGGTTGATATTGACTTAGTCTACGCTTTGATTAGGACATAGTGGTTTTGAACACTTGAAATTTCAGTGAACAGTGTTTGAGTTGCAGCTACTTTAACCACAAAACCACAATCTTCTTCATCATTAACTAAACCCATTATTTTCCCTTTGAATCTTTGGAAGAGTTCAATCATATTACCCAACACCAGCTTTCATGTTGTGAGCCATTCAATCTCAATTGGTCAATGAGTATCCATTAGCCATTGCTAAATGTTGACAATCCCACCACCTTCCACTTTTAAGATTTTAAGAACTTGAAAAGTTGTTTGCAACTTATTTAGTTGGATGATTTTTAATACCGTGTTATAAGAGGTCGTAAATGGCAAAACTTGTGATTAAATTTAAAGGAAGCATGAATTTAGTTCTTGCAAACCTAAAATTTAAGAAAATGTTAGAGAAACTACTTCTGATGTTATTGTAAAATCAATAGATAGATGGTTGGATGGATGGCTTCATAGATTGATAAACTAATTTGTTCAAACGGTTGGGTATAAATCCTCAGCAAATTTCGAGTTCCATAACCACCGCTCTGTCGTCTTAATTGACCAAAACTCTTTGTGGGATCTAGGTTAGGGCGCCGTTAGGCACCACAACCCAACTCCGCATCGCCCATCAGCAAAACTTAACTATTCTTAACTAGAGGTCAGAGTTCTTCCGAATCGCTAGTCAGCAAAACTTAACTAATTAAGATATACATTCTTAACTAGAGGTAACTAATTAAAATATATATTCTTAACTAGAAGTTAGAGTTCTATCGATCTAAATCCTAACCTTCAGAGTGAATCAATTAACTTCGACAAGAAAAATTATCACATAAATTCATGTGATGCCAGGTAGAATTCTTATTAAAATGCATAACAAAAATTTGACATGTTTTTCTCCAATATAACTAAAATAGAATGTTCGGAAGCATCTCAAACAGAAAATTATAATAGATCAAACTTGAACATTGAAAAAAAAGGCACATGAAGGGGCAATGGATTGGTTACCATTTCACAGAAAAATTGGACTTTCTTCAATTTCACATCAGAATCAAGGATGGTTAGTATAGGCCAAAAGAAAATCAGCAAATTCATTACGTGTAAGGTTGAAGTCAGTAAAGAATACTAACCAAGCTTCACCAAAAATCTCCGCACGAACAAACTCCATCTTTGAAATGATGAAAGCGTTTCCCATCTCGAATAATTATTTCCCTATCGACAAGCTTCGATATTAGCTTTATCGCTGAATGGCAATTAACGCATGCACGGAGATTTTTCGTTATTCTAAGTGTTGTTCCAGGAGCAGTACTGATGATGCCATAAGCAACTGCTAACCTCTCACTATGGTTACAAAGAGTTTCCTCAATCTCCTCATGATTCAAGTCATGTAGAACAGATTCCATATGAGCAACATAACCAGCTGCCTTTAATCTCCTCTCCAATCTATCAAGTTCTTCAAAGATTTCCTTCGATCTCGGATGTGATCTATCTCCAACATGGAACGTTTCGAGATTTCCATTGATCTCAATCGAACTATGTCCGAGGTCCTTGTTCAGTCCTTTCTGCGTCATCATTAATCGAACGTTCGCCACTTGGTTCCATAAATGGGCAGAAGCATATAAGTTTGAGAGTTGTACATAATGACCTGTATTATATGGATCTAATAAGAAAAGCTGTTCTGCAGCTATCTCTCCCAACCTCACTTGACGATGGATCTTACATCCACTTAAAAGTGCCCCCCAAACACTAACTCCAGGTTTAATGGGCATGCTCATAATAAAATCATAAGCTCGATTCAAATAGCCTGCACGTCCCAGAAGATCGACCACGCAAGAGTAATGCTGGTGATGCGGTTCAATCCCGTGGTCTTGCATCTGGTGGAAAAGCTCCCATCCCTCTTTTACAAGACCCGAGTTTTTACATGCTGTGAGAAGGCCAACAAAAGTAACGTCGTTCGGACGAATTCCAGATTGCTTCATTCTGTTGTAAAGGTCGATGGCTTCTTGTCCATGACCGTGTAATCCATACCCCATAATCATAGCACTCCATGAGACAATGTCTTTATCGACCATTCTATCGAAAACACTACGAGCAAAACATATGCTTCCACATTTTGCATGCATATCTATAAGGGCTGTGTTCACGAAAACATCGTCTCGGTACTCACTCTTAGAGATATAACCATCCAACCATCTTGCTAGTTCAAGAGACCCCACTTGGGCAACGGCTAGAATAGCAGACCTCACAGTAACAGAATCGACCCCGATATTCTTTGAAATCATCTTACGGAATAGCTCGATTGCTTCTTCACCATATCCATTTTTTGCATAACCAGAAATCATAGCATTCCACAAAAGTAAATTTGGTTTTTCCATCTGATTAAAGAAAAATCTAGCAATTTCCACCCGTCCAAGTTTAGCATACATGTTAGTGAGCGAGACCACTATATCGGGTTCAAATTCTAGACCCAATTTAGTCACTAAGCTATGGATGGCTTTTCCTTGCCCCAAATCCTCCATGTCTGTGTAGGCTGTCATAACACTAACAAGGACAATCCAATCAAGTTTCACAGTACTTTGCCTCATATCTTTGAAAACTCTCAACGCGTCCATGGGATCGCCATTCTGAACATACCCAGAAATGATGGACGTCCACGAAACAACAGTTCTATTATGTAACTTATCGAAGACGAGTCTAGCAGATGAGGTTTGGCCATATCTAGCATACATTGACACAAGACTGTTCTGCACAAACACATTTGATCCAAAGCCATATTTAAACGTCTGGCTATGCATCTGTTTACCTATTCCTTCAACCGACATTCCACCGCACGCTTTAAGCACATACAAAAATGTGAAGCAATCTGGGTTCACCCCTGACACTTGCATATCCTTATACATTCTGATAGCACCAGCAAAAATATTGTTCTGAGTGTAGCCCTTTATGATGCCATTCCACAACAAGATATCTGGTTCTAAGACTTCACGAAAAACCTTATGCGCGTAGTTAACATCTCTGAGATGCAAACATGCATTGACAAATTTGATAACCAAGAAACCACACTTGTATAGCCCAGACACAATTAACTGCACGTATAATTGATCCAAATGCTTCCTACAGGATGAGTTACAACTTAGAAAGTTCAAACTTTCTCGGGAAATACAGAGAAAATGGAGGAAAATGACATAGAAAGTAGGACAAACATTCATTAAGAAATAAACATTGAAAGAAAAAGTAACTCCAAGGCATTTCATAATCATCTCAATGAAATGTTAGGTCCAAATAAGCTTGCCTCCCCATTTTCAACCGCTATAGATAGACTATAAGGCAATAGCTCTATGACTTTCCCTCAAGGTTTTTAAAACACGCCTGCTAGAGAGAGGTTTCAACACCCTTATAAAGAATGTTTCGTTTTCCTCTCCAATCGATGTGGGATCTCACAATCCACCCCTCTTCAGGGCCCAGCGTCATCGCTGGCACTCGTTCCCTTCTCTAATCGATGTGAGACCCAACGTCCTTGCTGACACACTGCCTCGTGCCCACCCCCTTCGAGGTTCAGCCTTCTTGCTGGCACATCGTCCGGTATTTGGCTCTGATACAATTTGTAATGGCTCAAACTTGCCGCTAGTAGATATTGTCCTCTTTGGGCTTACCCTCAAAGTTTTTAAAACGCATGGAGAGGTTTCCACGTCCTTATAAAAGAAATGTTTCGTTCTCCTCCCCATGGAATCTCACCAAAACAGTGTTTTGAAGTCACATATGAAATCACAAGTTGGTCATCTACTAGAAATACTAAATATACAGCTGATTTCTAACCTCAAATGGTATAAAGTTAGCTAAAAATCTCAATCCAACCAAGCTAATAAGATAACTAATATTCAATATATAATATCCTTTCTCTATAACCTAAACACGAGCCACAGCTAGGCGAGCGCATTCAAACCACAAACATTGATACTTCCAATCACAGAAAAGGGCCTTGAAAGTAGAAACTGAAAGTGAAATACCTCCTCAATAAAGCCTCTTGCGAGGTTGCCGCCGCCTTTGAGAGAGCTGTAGATAGCGACGTCAAGGAGAGAGAGAGCGAAAATGAATGCAAAGACATGGCTGGAAGTCCGAGGAACTGCAGAGGCCAGCTCCGTCAAATCCCTGTCTTCCCGCTGATGAAGTTCTTCGGAGAAGCAAGTACCGACGAAGCTGTACGATTGCAGCAGCTTGAGAGACTGAGGTGATATGGCGGCGGCCGGCGAGGATGGACCCCATAATTGTTGAAATTGAGGAGAATCGCCATCGTGCTTACGATTCGACAGAAAACTGTTCTGTTTCTTGTAACCCAGCGAAAAACAATTCAATCCCAATTCGTTTTCGAATCAACATTCTTTCTTGTTTCCCTAATTTTGGTTTGGTAATTCTAATTTCAAATAATTTATATGGAATGAAATTCATCTTTCACCCCTTCTTAGGTTATTTATATATATATATATATATATATATATATATATATTAATTAATGAAAATATTCTTAAATTTCTTAGTAAAGTCTCTGAAATATTAGTTGAGCACTATTCAAATTGGTCTATTAGCTTATAGCTTTTAACCCTATTTTCTTTCAATAATATTGGATCCATCTTGTATTTTTGTCTGGCTAACTAAAACGGAAGAACTTAGTTCCACAATCCCTAATGAAGGTCTATAATTAGTAGGGCTCCATCCTTATCACCAAATATCATCACCAAGTGAAAGAGAAGACGACGTCCAAATCAAAATTTCTCAAGGTTTCAAATTGAAACACTTCAATAGCATCTAGACGCTCAAACTATAGTTAATCAAGCTAATTCACGTGCATACACAAACATCTATACGTTGTACTAGAGCATCTCAAATGAGTGTTGAAAGCATTCTTCCTCAAAACACATACAAATTAGAAATTTTTCGTCTTTAGCACGAGACCCATCTTAAGACTTAGCTGAATTTACGTAGATTTCTACTGACGTGTAATTTTTAACGTTTAAATGTATTATTAATTTTTTTAAAACTTAAGCTTAAATAAGGGTGCAGAGGAAGATTCTGGAAGTGAGGATGAAATGATTGAACAAAGAGAAGGAATAAGAAGCTTAAGATAAGAAAGAAAGAAAGCATTTATTTAGCTGTCATTTGAATGGCTGTCTCTGTCTGAAAAAGTGACCGTTGAAGCTTCAAAGACAAGCCGACCGTTGGATCAAATTTCAAACTATGAAGAAAAGACCTTGAAGAACAAGCCCACATCCTCCTCCTTCTTCGTCTTCTTCTTCTTCTTCTTTTTCCCCTTTTCTCTGTATATATTTTGACACCCAAATCCTTCTTCTTCGCCTGTGATTCAGAGATGGGTATGGTGGTGGTCATCTCTCTGCCGTTGATTCTCTTCTGCTTCTTGCTTGGTTTTGGCTGCTACTTTCTAGGCAGAGCTAAAGGGAGACAGGACATTCGGACTAATGCCCAGGTATTTGGTGTGCCGGCGCCGCCTCCCGGTAGCCGTCTCGCCCATCCTCCGCCACCGCCGGAGCCGCTTTTCAAACCTGATAATTCAGCCAATGTTTGATTAGTAATCAGATCCAAGTTCAATTCTTCACTGTACTGTCTCTGTCTACTGGGTTCTGTTTTGGGGTAAATTCTGTACTGTTAGGATGAACTTCATTACTCCATGAATCGTTTTGCTGTTATTGTGGCTGTTCTATGGGTGTTTCTGCATTCAATCGAGTGACCTGCCAAGCTTTGTTGGTACAAATGTTTGATTAAATGTGTATATCACTGTCTAATTCCTTGCACAAGTTTGGACGCTTTGATATCTATCTATCCTCCGTGTTCATCCCACCTAACTTTCTAACTCAACAGATCTACTTGTGAGATCCCGGTTGAAGGTTTGAAGAGGGAAATGAAGTATTTCGTATAAAAAGAACAAAAAAAAAAAAAAATCTCAAATATATTTTTACCTATCGTTTAATTACTCATACATAGGTTCTCGCACAATCATGAGATACTATTATGAAACGAGAAAAAATTCTATCATTGTATCAGAATTTATGAGCTAAGAGACATCTCGAATAAATAATTTCTATGGGGCGCCGGTCTCCGAAAAGGGTAGGGGAGGTGTGTAGAGGTTTTCTCGAATCAAATGGAGATTGATCCTTGAGTGTAAATGCAAAAGCGAGCTTGACCGTTTTGGCCTATGGCTTATGGTAGGGTTTCTAAGGATAGAATTTCTCTCCTTGACATTGATTCGAGTCTCGTCTAGTATGGCAACAAATATAGAGCGACTTAGTTTCATGTTAATTATAATTATAATCCATTAACATAAAAATTAATTCAAAGTAATTAAATATTAATTAAGATTCAAATAGATCTTACTTTTTTTTTTTTTTTTTTTAAATGATTTATGTAATATTTTATATCTTATAAATAGTGGTTTTGTTTTTTTTTTTTTTGTCTTCCCTTCCAATTATATAATTTTATATTTAAATGTTTTTTTAAACATTTAATTCTAGATTAAAAAAAAGTAAAAAAATCAAAATATACAAATTAAAGATTTACAATTACTATAAATATCTCTAGGGTTCCAGATTGCCAAATTTACTTCAAAGCCCTAAAAACGGATTGGGGGACGAAATTCCGTTCATCATCTTCTTCTTCATCGTCTTGAAGGCGCGCAGTCGATGCCCTGTGCTGTGGTTTTGGTCGGCGAGGAGGGCCATAGAGAGGGTTCCATTATCAAACGCTCTCTCTCTTCACCCACTTATCAGTTTCTTCTCTTTTCATGTCTTCAGTCGGTGGTTTGCTTTTATCTGCTCCTCATCCTTCAGGGTCTTCTAAAACCCTAGCCTTCCACTCCGGTTCCTCCCCTATATGCCTGCTTCCTTTTCTCCTGCTCTATAGTAAAAACCCCTGTTTTGATCTCAGGCTTTTTGCCTTGCAATTCGAATCCAGTTTCAGATATGGGCGATTTTAAGGTATGATTTGTTTGTTATTTAATTTATTGGTTTCTTAAGTCCTTGTTGGTTTTTGAGTTGAAATTTTGTATTGTAAGTTGATGGTTTTCTTTCATAAGAAGGGCGTGCAAATGTTTCGACAACTTTATTCATTTGGCTAAATGCTATATTGTTAAAGAAATAAAGTGCAGATGAGTTTTTCGTATGTTCATACTTTCTCAATTTATTATTACGCATCAGTTTCGTTTTTGGTTCGATTACATGACACTGAATAGCCTTGGACAAAATTTTATGAGTGGGGTTGTACTTTTTTGATGAATAGGTTTAAATAATTTCATTGTTTTTGTTTATGGTTTATGCATTTGTGTGTTGGGGATCTTTGGACTTATGTTCTCTTTTTTATTAGGTTCTATTATTTGGGTCTTTCACTGAAGATGAAACCATTGCATCGATGCAACCTCAATCGAATGTGAATCCCGGAAACGTGGTCAACAATGTAAATATGCAATTTGGTTCTCTGAATCTTACAGATGGAAAAGCGTCGGGTAGTTCCCTTGACAGTGAACTGAAAGGACCTTCTGATTCCACAACAGCATCCGTAAATTTGGGGCCCCTTGATTTAGCTGCTAAGGATGCTACAGATCTGAAAACTGTCCAAAGGAGAAAAAATCGCACTCCCCCGGCATCGGGAGTGCCAAAAGAGAATGGAAGTACTCACCACCTTAATCAAAGCTCCTGTTGTACTAATGGGGCGACAGAAACGAAAATAGACGACATTGTCTCTTCTTCAGTATGTGAATCAAATGGTCAGAATAATTCTATAAATCAATTTTCAAGACTGTTAATAGAAGACAGCCAGAAAAATGGTAGCATTGATGGCTTGCAAGAAATTGTTCCCAAAGAAAATTTCAGGAAGGCATCCGTTGTTTCTGTCACTTCTTCCACTAAGCTACTACCTCGAGGTTTAATTAACCCAGGGAATTTATGCTTTCTGAACTCAACTCTGCAGGCTCTTTTATCCTGTTCTCCTTTTGTTGATCTCTTGAGAAATTTGAAGAATCGTGAAATCCCCAAGGTCCTTGTCCTTCCTATTATACTCCGGGCCTTTGTTTCTGTGATATGAAGAAAAATACAAAACAAATAGATTTGGAGTAATATGATTGATGACAGATGTTTCTACTAATTTTGGTGAATTTCTGACTTGAGATGTATTTTTCAGGCGGGTTATCCTACACTAACTGCGTTTGTAGAGTTCATATCTGCCTTTGAAGTACCCAGTTCAAGTGTACCGAACAGGGATATGGCTGCTCTTGATGTTGGGAAGCCTTTTAGCCCTCTCATGTTTGATGGTGTTCTTAAAAATTTTAGTCCAGATCTGCCCAGTGGTATCTTGGGACGTCCAAGGTTTGTGGATGTTCTGCCAATATATTTTCATTTCAATGCTCATCTCTTACCCTTGGTTGTGGGTTGTTGTAAAGTAGCCATTGATACGGTGGTGAATTGAAAATATTAGAGAGTAGGATGAATTTCAAGCACTGGGATTACACAGATATCTTTCATATGACCTTAATTCTCTGCACCTTGCACATGTACTTAATTTTGGTTATCTTTATCTTTTGCGAGAAGCATGACTGTGATTTATGATTATCTTTGTATTACTTTGTCGACTTTTTTCCACATGAGGTCCATATTAAGTTTCTAAACATTTATTGATATAGGACGGTTTGTATTTGATATGTTTTTGTTAGGTTTTCTATGGATAACTAATTTTTTCATTATCATTTGTTTTTAAATGCTTAACCCACATTAGTGCTAAGTGCTTTATTTTCTATACTGCTAAGGGGTTAGCAATTATTTTATTTGGTGAATAGAGATTGGAGATGGAAAGGGGGAAAACGATTAAGAAAATTGTAAATTAGTTCTATCATTCTATCGAACTTATTTATACTTTTTCATAAGATAGGTATTTTGATAAAAGTTGTTTACTTTATTTGTTCGGCCTTATCGACGATTTTACAATGATTTAGAAGAAGACTTGAGGGAATATTTATTAGAAATTCAATAAAAAAGAAGACTTACACCACCCAACGTGATGTCTATCATAATTTTTATAAGCGACGATCGCCTCTAAAATATTTCCTATGCTTGATTCATGATTCTTAAATTCCTGTTATTTTGCTCATCCAGACAGGAAGACGCACAAGAATTTTTAAGTTTTGTCATGGATCGGATGCATGCTGAATTGCTGAAGCTTGATGGAATGTCTTCAACTACCAATGGGGATAAATATCTTGTAGTTGCTTCTGCAGAAGATGATGAATGGGAGACAGTTGGGCGGAAGAACAAATCTGCAGTGATGCGAACACAGAGTTTTGTTCCTTCAGAGTTTAGTGAAATCTTTGGGGGGCAACTGACGAGCATGGTGACGGCAAGAGGTAGTATATGAACACATGTCATACGGTCATGGTTTTTTGGTCTGGTTTTGTTTTGTTCTTTTAATGTGAATGGAATATTGTTGGTAATTTCCATTTAGAATTTAGCTAATGTCTTCTGGAATTATTGTGCTTCTTAGCAATTGCTTTGTTATGCCTTGAATTTTTGCAACTAGTTTTTCTCTATTGGTTGCATTGATTATTTTCCATTCACTTGGTTCGTTGATTTGCTGGACAGCACATTTCAATTTTAAAAAATTCAATTTCAAGTCTGTTACTTATGTATGACTGATTTTTAGTCTGCACAATTATGACTTGTCAAAGTTGGATTCATTTTGTATCTTCCTCTGTGGTCATGAATCAACAGTAATTTGTGTGATATCTCGCACTGTATGTCTTTAATTGACACAATTGTTTAGCATAACTAAACTGCATGGATAGGCAATTCTCCAATACAAATCCATACCAACATATTTATTGTTTTGATCTTATGTTTTTTTACTCGTGATACCCCTCTATAATTCAAGTGAGTTGATATCTTTTTTGCTTACCGTTTTTAGAACCCGAATGAATTATTGCTGTTTATATATTCACTTGCTTTTTCTTGATTTCGTTACCTCTATCCAATTTTTGCTTGGGATTGAGCAGGAAATAAGCCTTCTGGTACTGGTCAGCCATTTCTATCGCTGCATCTTGATATTTACCCTGAAGCTGTTCGCACGATTGAGGATGCTTTGCGTTTATTTTCTGCACCAGAAACTCTTGAAGGGTACCGGCCATCAGCTGCTGGGAAGGTATACTCTTGTATTGCCCGTATCTATAAAATCCTCTTGCTTTGTTCTCCCGCATGCATGATTCTCATTGCAATTGCATTCTTTCTTTTACTTTTTCTGCCCCTTGCAATGTTTGTATTATGTTGTAAAAGTAAGCAAATGTTAGCATTCTATCCAAGTTTTGATGGGTGTGTATTATGTGCAGACACCCTTAACCAAGGGTATGTTTGATCATGCTTTTAATTGTTCAAAACCTATTTTTAATTGTATTAATATTGCCTTTAGAAGCTTTTAAATCAAAGATTAAGTTGATTTTAAATGATAAAGACATGTTTGGAAGTAATTTTGAACATGGCAGAAGTGATTTTAATAATTTCAAAATCACTTTCAAACATACCCTTAACATACCTTTAGTTTTCCTATGTTTCTAAAAATGAGATATATGTTCTCCAGGCTGGTGTTGTGACTGCTCGCAAATCTATGAAGATACGGAAGCAGTCGAAAATAATGATATTACATTTGAAGCGTTTTGGCTATGGAAGCCATGGAAGTACCAAGTTGAATAAGCCTGTGCATTTCCCCCTTGAGTTGGTTTTAAACCACAGTCTTCTCATCTCCTCATCCACAGAGGTATTGTCTCATACTTTCCAGTCTTTCGATACCAAAAGTAGAACAGGCAAGATCACGCTCTACAACGTGTGCGTTAGTGTTCGCTAATTGTTTCTCTTGGTTGCATTCTTTTCAGGGTAGGAAGTATGAACTTATTGCCACCATAACCCATCATGGAAGAGAGTCCTCAAAGGGACATTACACAGCAGATGTTCGATACCATAACGATCAATGGCTGCGATATGACGATGCATCTGTCATGACAATCGGGAAGAATCATGTGTTGCATGACAGGGCTTATGTTCTCTTCTATAAACGAGTATAAGGTATCGATGTGGACGCAGAGTCCTTTCTGGATCTGATATCAACATAGAAAAACCTTTCTGCTGCCTGTGAGGCTTTGAGTTGTTGATGTGTGGATGATCTGCTGCAGTGAGAATGACGATCTGGTTCAATTATACAAGAATTTTAAAGCGTTATAATAGTATTAGTTTTGTTCTGAGGCATTATATAATTTTTAAGAACATTATATTTTGCGAATAAAGGATTGAAATGGTAACTTTCCTTTTCATTATTTATTTTCAATTATTTTCATTTACAATCCTATGTATGAACATTAAAGTGTCACATCCATTTTAGACCTTTTTTTAAAATAAGATAAAGAGTTGGATATGCTGTAAAGGGATAATAGAGGTCAAGCCAAGTTGCAAAGTTGCAACCATTTCATATTGGAACACTTGCAACTCTTTTCATACTTGCAAGCTTTGTTATTATAACAACGTTCTAGATTGAATGTAATAATCAACGATATTATTTTTCGGGGACATCTAATCCTTTTGTCGTTGCAAGGTTGGTTAATTGCAGTAGGCTTGAAAGACCCTTAATTCTAGAAGGAACACGAATTTGAACGCTATGTTGAATGTGCCACCGATACTACACTTTGTAGGTATCTGTGCAAGTGAGGCGTTGGTTGGTCCTAGAAACAATGGCAATGGCACGAGGAGTTAACGACCAGACATGCTGCAACCTATTGATCACCAGGTAGCTTCTTCCATCTATAGGGATTGGGGAGGGCATAGCACAATTCTTTTTGGAGGAGGGCTGGTTTGCCCCGATGACTGATCTTGTCATTTACCTATAGCACCAACAATCGAAATCGAGCATACATATGACAGTCCTCATGCGTGAATAGCTAGGAGGAAAGAAAAGACAGTAGATGATAATGAAAAATGGCGTCTCTATCTGTCGTATCTAAGAATATATTGATTAAGTATTAATATCACGAAACAAAATATTAAATATTCTCATAAAAAATATTAAATTATTTTAATAAATGCTTTTGTTACAATTATTAATGTGTTTGCTATAACTGCAACAAAATCTCAAAATATAATGAAAACGAAAAAGAATAGTCATTTTGAGTTTGGAAAAAGTTGATAAAAAAAAAATAAAAAATGAAAGACTTTAATTTATTAATTTCAATATTTCAAAGCTTTCACATTACAATGAGAAAGGGGAGAGTCATAATTTTGACTTCCAAGAACAAGACTAGTCCTGAAACCAAGTCAATATAGTCATGAAAATTAATGTATTTATTGATTTATTATATGATATAATATTCAATTTTAGTCCTTACATTTTTAATACTCTTAAATTACTCGTTAATTTTTTTTAATCAAAATAGTTAAATAATATTAATAATTTTCTATGTAAAAAAATATAATAGGTAAAAAAAAAAAAAAACTATTCGTGACTAATTTTCTCTTCAGAAAAGTTAACGATAAATTAATAATAGAGACCAATTTTAAGTATTATTAAAAATACATGAACTAAATTGATATTTTAACTTTAATTAGTCTAATTGAAATAAAATACAAAAAAAATATTAGCAATAAATTTAATCATATATATATATATAAAAAAAAAGTCAGTACCATATTTATTCAATTAATACACAATTAGGCTCATTGATGATTGTTAAAGCTCCATTAAAACATAATTTAGTGAATAAAACACCGAGATTAGATAGCCTACATGAGCATTTTTTTATTACAATTATTTATATGAATCGACAATTATGAGTATTTTAAAAATACTATTATCTCAATCATTGATTAATGTTTTTTTTTTTTTTTTTTGTAAAGAAATTGTTATATATGCAATTACATTTTAATATATTGTCACTTTTATAAAATGTGTATGTACAAATATTTAATGAAATTAAGTTATTAAAATTATATTAAATAATTATAATATTTATAGTTTAAAAAATGAATAATGTGATTATAAATATAGAGATAGGAAAAATGATTAGTTGAAGATTTATATTTGGACGTTTTACCTAATAAGTAGACTATCAATTTGTCTTCATTTGCCAAACCTATGACTATTCAACCTCAATATCTTCTCAATTTTTCTCTAAATTAACTAATTTCAAAATTTTTATACCTAAATATATATATATATATATATATATATATATAAAGTCTATCGTGATGCTTAATGTCGGGATTCATATCAAGAATTGAAATACAAATTCAGCATTTGACAGTCCGAACGTTTACATGCGAGAAGATCATGTTATTTTTAAGATATTTTGTTTTCACTCACATGTTTATTAGAAATTTTTTTAAAAGGTCAAATAACGTATAATTGTTTCTAGAAAATTTAGAGTTTCTATGATCGAGCCACCGAAAAAATGTGTATTTTGTTGATATAGACAATAACTATTAATTACATAATCAATTACATTATAAAAAAAAAAAAATATATATTAGCATGGAAGTATAAATAAATGTCTTTGTTTATTTTATTTTTTATTTTTAATTCAAAATTGATATTTACAAAATCTACAACAATATCTTTCTTTTCCTTAATTATTATATATCATTAAAAAAAAAAAAACAGAAAAATGGTTGTCGTTTGGATGAGCCGACATGTTTGTGAAAAAAATAACTAAAAAAAGAAATAAAATTTTCTTTATTTTTCAGACAAATATTTTACATGCCGACACATCGGTAATTTTGATGCTTTGCTCAATTACAGATTTGTTTTTTATTTTTATTTTTATTTTTTTAAAAAATCATCTTATGATATTAACATTATTAGTAATTTCTTTTTTAAATAACGCGTTAATTTGTTGGCCAATTACCGTCACTTAGCTGGTAATTAGTTTGATTTTTTTTAAAATGGTAGATTTATTCTTAAAAATATATTAAAAATGTGTTTAATTTTTTTTATTATTAATTGTTCGTCCATAATTATTATTTTTAACTCTAAAAATTATAATAAAATAAAATGCATTCTTTATACAAAAAAAAAAAAAAAAATTAAAAAAAAAATAGAATTCAAAAAGTGGAAGCCCTTTCACATTAGAGTTAAATGATTTGAGATTATTAATAATCGGATATGGGGTTTACAATGAAATTAAATATATGGATGCAACGGGTGCGGTCATGTCCAGAGCGGCTCCCACGGTGCGCTAAGAGTAGCATCGTCAAGGAAGCAAGTGGTATCCGCAAGGTGCGATGCCCAAATGGGCTCCGCTGATTGCTTCATTTCCATGCAAATCAACGCTAATAAGTTGGCTTGCTGTTGCTGCATATTGGCTACCTCTGCCCTGGCCTTGGCTAGCTGTGCCTGCAACTCGCTCACTTGCGTTTGCAGCTGGCAAATTGCGCCCGCGCTGCCGTACACCGGATCTCGTACCCTTGCATTTGCTTCATACACCATACTGCTCACTGCATCTGTTCTTTGACACTCTGGAAGCTCCTGCATAATTTACAAACCACATTCACTTTTAAAATGTGTCGGGATTCCAACGTCACAATAAAAAATATTTTGATATACAACATACCCACAGAATTTAATGATGGATTTAAGGTCATGGGTTCGAACTAGAGGGAGAGAAAATAAATTTAAGAATTGAAATTTTGTAATTTTGTGGGCGTACTTGCAAGAATTTGATGATATTGCTAGCTCCAAACACTCTATGAGCAATGGTGAATTTGAGGGGCTCCGTTGGAGGAAAATAAGGAGCCAAAACGCACTTCTCGATGCAGCGGCGCCGTAGGATCTTGCAGGCGGCGCAGGGGCTAAGAACCACCGCGACCGGCGTCGACAACTGTTGAGAAGTGGGAGGCGACACGAAGTTGGTGGCGGCGGAGGAAGATAAGGGGTTAGGAAGAGTGGTCGGCGTTGGTGGAGAGCTCGTACATTTGGCCACGTAAGCCATTTGTTTTTTTTTTTTTTTTTTTATAATTATTTTTTTTCTGCTAGAGAGAGAAAATGGGAGAGGAGAGAGAAATATGTGTTTGGAAATGAAAGAGCCTGAGGAGCTGATATATATAAAGAATGGGAGGGGATCACTTTCTCCGCTTACGTCATCCACCCTATTTCTTACCTCATCAATTTTAAATTATTAATTAACATCTCCAATAAATATAAGATTTTTATGTAAAATATTTAAATAGTATTTAATATAAAATTTAATTATAAATTAAAATAGAAAATTTAAGAGATTAAAGAACATAAATAAAACATTAATAAAACAATTTTAATTCAAACTATATGAAATAATAATTAATTGGATAAATAATATATACTTTTATTTATTTCTAATTGATTCCTTAATTATTTGATTAGCCATTAATTAAATCACCTTTTTTCTGAACCCTTTTCCTTTAATAAAGAGTTCATAATTTATTACCTTTCTTTAAAAAGAAAAAAATGGTTAAAAATTAAATTATTAATTTAAAAAAAAAAAAAAAAAAGCCATTGCTTCCAATTTACTTGATTACTTGCTTTATTCTATTAAAGTAGTAAGCAAAAGTAATAATTTTTAAGCTAACAAATTATTTCTCCTATTAATAATTTAACATTTTTTTAAAAAAAAAAAACTCCTAAATTAGAATAATATGGATTCATTTATTTAAATTTTGCCTTTTGCTTCATTGTCTACGAGCGTTTTATTGTTCGCTGATCACGATCGTGGTTAGTGGTAACGCATTACTGTCGATAAGGCCCTCATCCTTCTCATTTTTATTAGGAACTACAGAGCTCCACAATGGTACGATATTGTCCACTTTAATCATAAGGTTTCCTGGCTTTACTTTTGGTTCTTAGTTAGTTATAAACATGTGTTCTTCCCCTTAATTAGGCGAGACTACTCCTTCCAACAATTCTCAATAGTTTCAGGTTCATCGAGTGCGTATGGATTCTATTGTGAGATTTTGACAAGTCCAGTGGAGATGTGGTTGCACCATGAGTCATCATCACCGTCTGTCTTTGTGGAAAGCCACCTTGAATGTTTGAGTTCCATCAATTGCACCGAGATCTCGTTCAAGAAGAATAAGGTAGGCTAAAGCGATGATTCATGTGTGAATTGTGGCATTAGGGTAAGTAAACTTATACTTGGACCATGAATTGTACGTCGTATATTTAGCATGTGTTATTACAATGTTAATCATGAGTTATTGATACTAAATGTTATATGATATGTGATTAGCTTATGTAATTACAGTGATTATTCATGAACTATAGAGGGGATAGTGAAAGATGAGATATATATTAGTTCACCTGAG